TTTTAAGGTTCTTGGAAAGATACGGATGAACAATGCTACTTAGTAGTTACATTGCTGTTTTAGGATCAGTAGTGGTAGCAAAGGAGCAAGATGGAATGGTTAAAGAGGAAAAATTGTATCGGTCTATCTCCTTTTAGATAGGGGAAAGATCAGAAGTGCTTATTAGAGAACAGAATAACAGAGTTAGAAGCAACTTTGGAGGCCATCTAGTCCAATCCCCTGCATGAGCAGGAGACCCTGTACCATTTCAGACAAATGGCTCTCCAGTCTGTTCTTGAAAGCCTCCAGTGCTGAGGCACCCACAACTTCTGAAGACAAGCCATTACAATGGTTGATTGTTCTCATTGTCAGGAAATGCCTCCTTAGTTCTAGATTAGTTCTCTCCTTGATTAGTTTCTATCCATTTGTTCTTGTCTTGGAAAATAGTTTGCCTACCTCATCTACCGCATTTCGCTGCACACTTATTATTATACTAATTTAGAGCCTCCCTAGAGGGAATATAAATGTGAGAAGTGTTCTTATTTATCCTTTGAGTAAAGAGAAGTATATATGGACAAGAAGGCTATGTATTTTTCTGCAATCCTCTGGATAATTGTAGATTTATTGAAGGGGAGGCAACCGACTGGCCACTGTTCAGTCATTCTCTCAAATTTTTAATATTTCCAGCAGCGGGTTGTCCCCGGTTCAGACCGGTTCTATAGAACCGGTAGTAAAACTGGCGGGAGGCTCTGCCTACTGACCCTGACGTCATCAAAAGCGATCTGCGCATGCGCACGATCCCGTTGTGAGCCGGTAGTAAAGGTAAGTAGAACCCACCCCTGATTTCCAGCTTTGTATACAGGTTATTTGTGTGTCTATATCAGTGTTTTTTAAGCTTAGCAACTTTAAGATGCATGAACATCAGCTCTCAAAACTGGCTCAGGAATTCTGGAATTGGTTGAAGTCCATGCATCTTAAAGTTGTCAAGGTTGAGAAAGACTGGTCTATTCTCTGTAGCTCAATAGTTTTTCAGTATGACTTGGAGGGATGATGCCCAAACATTTTAAAGTATCTGTTTACCCTATATCTAGGCATTATCTGAACTTTCCAGGAAATTTCTTTCCCACAAAAGAAGACCAAGAAGGCCATATCTTTCAAGCTTAGTAAATAATGATTGCTTGTTAACATTAATTCTGTGGGTTAGTGTCTATACAGTGCATTAACTAACGCTTTTGGTCAAGGCTGGAATATTTGTATAGCAAAGTACAGGACTGAGCTAAAGGGAGAGGGAATACACTAAAAACACTACAGAGAAATGGCATTGTATATGAGTAAAAGAGGGAGGGAAAAAGAGATTTTATTCCCGTATTATTTCAGTTTGTTACTCTGATGTGGCATTTAAATCAGACACTTTTAATGCTTTTAATTCAAGATACTTAAAATTATTCTGTTCATTCATTAGGACTTCCAAATATGGAGTATAAAAATCTGGATGGATAATAAATGGCAGCAAAAAGACACAGAAATGTTTAATTGGATTTTTGCAGCCCAAATCTATAAGCCTACTTCATTCTTATTTCTTCTTTTATGTTTTTATTTTTCATTCTTAATCTTTATCCTCTCAGATTTCTATTTATTATTTATTCAAATTAAATCAAATTTTAATTGTCATCAAAGATCAGAAATTATTTATAACACAAATAATATATAGATGTGCTAAATTTCAGTAAATGAGAAATAACTAAGTAGAAAATATGAATTATAAAATTCATTAAAAATAGTTCATATTTAACAGCCCATCAACAGATTGCAGCCTTACCTCCCCCTTTTGCCACAGCTGCCATCCACTCCTGAAGCAGGATCTGTGAGTCTAAATAGACTCCCATATTATACACCATTCCCAAAAGAAAAGTGCAGCCCCAATTATCCACGCTTACTTGGTGCTGTTGGGATTGAACTTGATCTTCTTCCCTCCCGTCCAGGTCCCAACAGTCTCTAGTACTGAGACCTTGATAGCATCATCTGGTTGGCCTGGGGTAAAGGTGTATAGCCAAGTATCATTAGCATACTGAGGGTACCTGATCCAAACTGATGGATGGCTTCACCTAGCGTGTACATACAGATATTAAATGGAAGGAGGAAGACTGCTGAATCCTACAGGATTCCACACATCAAGAGTTCCAAGGTCAATTAATCCCCCACTGCCAACATTTACTGAACCTAATCCGAGAGGAAAAGAGAAGAACCCTGCATATTCATGACCCCCGCCCCAAATCCCCAGGAGGTCCAGATGGTATTAAAAACTACTAAGTGATAACGGAAAATTAGTTCTGGCTCTGACAAAGGTGATCAGCAACTACAATCAAACTTGTCTCTGTGTTCTAGCCTAAAACATGACTGGAGGAAACCTAGAAACTCAGTTTCTCAAAGGCCCTCTGAAACAGCAGACTGACCACTTTCTTGGTAATCTTTGAGAAGGGGAGGTTGCAGGCTAGACAAAACTTATTCAGAACTGTGGGTCCCATTAGAACGTCGAGAAAGGGATGCACCAATGCCTCCCTCATCAAAGCAAACACTGCAGCATGAACTCCCACATGTCACTTCCTATGTGGCCTTCACAAACAAGAATCTAACAACAGGTGGCCAGGTAAGTAGACCTGAGGATCCTGTCCTTCTGCTTAGGAGTCATAGCCTAAAACCTGTGTCAGCTAACCATAGAGAAGTTGGACCACATCCCAAATATTTAATCTCTACCCACACCAAAACCAAACAGCACCACCGCCATGCTTGTAAGTTCATTGAAGATTGGCACTCCACAAGCAATACCATCAACAGACACATTGACCTACAACCAGTCTACAGACCCCTCAGAATCTAAATCAACTGCATAGCCAACCAGAGACAGCATCGACCCTTAACCAACCCATGCAACCCCCCCACCAGTTCACCTCCCAATGACCCTGACCTGATGTAATCTCCTTATCACAAGACTGTCATTTGAAATACCCATATCTGAAACCCTTATAAACGGAACGACACTGACACTGACATCCATAAACTCCACTGAAGATATTACCTAGCCTGGTAATGAAATGTTTGGAAACCAACCTACAAGCCTGGAGAACAAACCTTCACCCTCAGACTTCTAGTGTGTCATGTTCTTGGTGATTTGGATCAGGTCCATTGTTGTTATGGTGATCATGAACTTCTGAGCTGTCTCAGACTCAATGCCACCTGGAAGGAGTTGAAGTCACCAAGAATTTTGACCTTGGGACTTAGTTGCCAACCTGACAACAGACTCTAGAAGATCAGGCAAGGATATGGGTGACAACTGCTATCCCACCACTCCTGCTCTGGACTCAGGACATTGCCACACTTGAAATCCAGACAGGCCTATTTCGGGGGGGGGAGGGAGGGACTTGCACTCTATTCCCATTTGAGTCTTCTTTATACATGCCAGGTCAGCTGTCTCATCTACCCTTAGGACAGTCTTATTACTTGACATTCAAAATCAGTAGCCAGAGTCCATACATATAATTCCATCCTACAGAGAAGCGGCTCCCAAATGTTTGGGTACCAGAGACTGGTTCTGTGAGGAAAGGTTTTTTCTACAGACTATGGATGGGGCTTCACTTGTGAATCGGTTGCTGGTATGCTGCAGACACATACAAGAAAAGAATATATTATTGCTTGGTTTTTCCCTTAGTTTATTCACTATTAGCTACTGTTTTATGACCCATTGGTCTGCAGTCACTTTTCTCCTAGTTCACAAGGATGTACCATATATGGTCCTGAGGGACCATCTCTTGCTGGTCACATCTACCTGACCCACTAGAGCAGGGAGGCAAGGAATGTTGCGGGTTCCATCCCCTAGAGTCAGCATTCCAGAAAACCCCAACTCCGAGTAAAGACGTGGAAGCAAGCATTTTCCAAAATTCTCTTTACTAGAATAGGTAAACTGGCACATCTGAGAAAACCCGAATCTGAAAGGTCCAGGTTTTCCCTCAGTAAATCAAAACCCCCAAAACCATCCCCTCACTCCTCAGTCGATCACATGCTCCAATCAACGTCCGTCCCATCTCGACTCAGCACTCTGATCACTCCTTCTCCAGATCGCCCTGGCCTTGACCAATAGGAAGAATGCTATTATGTGCAAGAATTAAGTGTAGGATTCCGCTTTAGAGGTAATATAAACACTACTGAAAATGCCTCTTTGAAAATATCTGCATGTATAATGTTACATAGCTGGGAATCAGAATATGTGATTCCTGTTCCTCCTTTTAGTATAATGAACATCACCATTCTGGTCCATGAGTTGAATTGCATGGAACTGGAAGCAGTTATTTTTAGGAAATTTAAAGTTTATGAAGTATGAGGTCTCCAATGCAACATAACACTATAATTTTATTACACTAAATGTGATAAAAGAGGACAATGAGAATAGTCACTTTAAGAAAACAAGCTTAAAATCATATTTAGAGAAGTGCTTTTGGTTAACTATTGTAATATAGAGATCAGACACAGATAGCCTCAAAACCTGTACATTCTGTGTGAGATCATTCCATCTGAACCTACCATCTGACCCATCTATAAATCAAATATGGATTTAAAATATGATATGATACAATTAGACATTCACCTCCTAATTAATTCCACATTTTTTGATATTCAATAAAGTTAATTGCCATAAGCTTCAGGCTCAAATATACCCAGTTGTTTTTAATAGATACTGTATGTATGAACAAACTTAAACACTTGAACGTTTTGAATTGGATCCCTATGAATGAACAGATTCATTCTGAGGAAATGATGAAGCAAAGCCTCTGTAAAGGTCTTCTAGATATGCAAAGATAAAGGATGGCTCTTCCACACAAAATAATCAGATACAAAAAATAGCTATTTAGAAGCAGCATACCTATGAGTACTTTAATCAAACATTTAGGTTACCTGCCAAAAGAACCATGATCTCTTCAAAATGCAATGTGGATTAAAGTGTTATCTACCATGAACAGAAAACTAACCTTGGAGTGGAAGTTTGAGATGCGTTCATCATAATTTTCATGTCTTTCGATAGAAAAACCAGCCTTTTCAGCTAGGCTGCAGAACTGGTTTAGAGTATCTCCTCTAAGTGGAGCAAATATCAGAGCTTTCCCCTAAAACATTAAGAACATTTATATGTTTTATTTAAACTATAACATAACATTGATAAAATTGTTAACAAATTATTAAAATGGACAATGGTATGACAAATAGGAACAGGAAGATCTTGAAAAATACGCTATAAGTAAACTTCACCAAATGTGAATAATTGCACTTGACTGTTATCAAAATTTATTTTATCTTTTCCACATAATTTTGTCTAATTATTCCATTAAATCAAATTGCTAAAGAGAAATACTATAAGCTATAAAAAATTGATCCATTGTCATGTTTAATTTTTGTTAGAATTGAGGAAATTTTACAAATGTAACATGTAAAACTGTGTAAATGGAACATACTTTCACACTGAATTTTTTACACTTCTCCTTCCATTAAAGCTACCAGAAAAGATTCATCTAGTGTTTGTAGGAATTACAAAAATACCTTGGATGAGCAGCAGACGAGCAGTAGTGGAAAAAGGGGTAACTGAAAAAACTGGGTGGAAACATCTTGCATAATCTATGTTTTGCTTGCTTTAGGCATTTAAATCAGATTTTTTTGCAATGAATGTCTGCTATCACTTTCCCATCTGCCACATATCAAGATTTTGCGGTGGGTGGACCCCAAGTATCCCTGAAAGTTTTATCAGAACTGGAATGGAACGGAGAATGTAGAAAAAAACCGATGATCAGAGCATCCTTCCCTTGGCATAAATTTGGGGTTTAATCCAATAAATTTAACCACTCTGTATCTATTTTTCTACTGCTTCAAAATAAATTTTCATAATAAAACTCCCAGAGAGGCTCTGGAGGCTGGGAACAGCAAAAAACGTCACTTCCTGTCCAACCAGAAGTTGGGAAACGGATCGTTTCGGGCCTCTGGAGGGCCTCCGAGGGGGTGGGGAAGGCTGTTTTCACCCTCCCCAGATGCATAGAGAAGATCTGGAGCCAGGTGAGAAAGAAAAATGAGCCTACCGGGCCATCGTGTGCCAGGAGCGGGGGGAGGAGGGGGGGTCACATGCACGGGGCAAGGTGCATAGAATTATGGGTGTGGGCATGCGCACACGTGAATCTCCCCCCCTTCCTGGCACGCGATGGCAAAAGGTTAGCCATCATTGATATAGACCATAGGTGGGAATTCTTGTGCTTCAACCAGCTCCCAAATCAGTTTTACCAGCCCCAGGACCCCCAGGATTGTATCACTGAAACTTGACAGGAAATTGCCAAACACCAAGTTTGGGATTTCCAATTGATTTCTGCTAAGAAAGCAAACAAATAGGGCATATTAAGCTTTTGAATCAATAACAAGAAATAAGCATTTCCTCTCACTGGTTTGCTAATTTGCACGAATTACTATTATTGTATCCCATGCAGACTCTAGGTGTTCATATGAATAAATATGGCCTGAAACATAAAAAGATACAGAGCTTTCATAAAAACAAAAAGGGTACTTTAACAATTATGGCTCAAAATCTTAATTTTCAGAAATGGAAGAAAAAGATACTGATGTCTTTGTCAAAGTAAAGCATAAATTTCTAAACCAAAGACAAGTTTTAGTTAATATTAACTCCAACCTATAAAGAAAAATACACCTTTGGTTGAGTCTTCTGTAGTAAATTTAGGAATACTGAACTAGGCATATGAAAGTTAATAATGATTCTGCAATTTTTATCTATAATTTCTACATCCATGAATCTGATGATCTAATCAAGGAGGATGATAAATTTGGATGTTTTTCTGAGAGATCTTTGGAATTCTCCTCTGGTTTAGGTAATAATCCTGCCAAGGCCTTGAAATGTGTTTAGAATATGGTGTTTTCAATAGATTTACTCTTAAAAATCCTCATACCAGTTAAGGAGCTATGTCAATAGCTTGGAATCCTAAAGAACTGAGAACAATGAATATCAGGTTTGACAAACAAAATATAAATGATTTGGAAGATTTGGAATAAGCACAATTGGATATGAGCGAGAATACATTTTTTAAAACTGTAATGATGGTGATGGAAATCTTACTTCTTTGTTACTATTATATTTGCCCAAGGCTATTCATTGGAGATTTGTGGGGATTCCTTTCAATTTATGGGATATTTTTCAGATAAAAACCCATTCTTATTGTTACTGATTCTATTTCAATAGAGTCAGAGATGGATGTTCTTATACACACTTGCTTAAGGAAAGCAATTGTGAGGCCACCTTTTAAAGATTAGATTCTATTACTCCTGGTAATTGCCAACCAGTGTTAATTTTGCCATTCTTGGATATCTATTGGAATGTCTTGTGATTATTTCATTGCTGTTTATTTCCAAATGGAGTTGAAGTTTAGTTTCACGGCAGACATGGCCTTCAACACACTAATCCAATTATTCTGGTACTCTCCATATGCCTTGGTCTACAATTGCCAGTTGTCAATTGGGATGCATAAATTGAAGGCATCAAGTTGGGAATACTGCCTAGAAGATTACTTGCATTAGAAAATAGTCAGAAGAGAATCTAGATTTAGCAGCTGCCTCCTCCACCAAACTTAGGACTTTTGTGCCATGTTAGGCATTACAAATGAAGGTAAATATACATATACATATATCAGGATAATGTTGCAGGATGCAATCTGGGCTGGTCACCAGGACCAGTGGTTTTGTTTTCCAAGCTTTTGGACTCAAACTGGATCCCATCTTCTGGGAACTTCTCTCTAGTAGAGTGTGCATTTTTGGGCTGTTCTGTGTGTGGGATTTATATGGTGCCTGTTGTATGTGGCTTTTTAGATATTGATTGGGGTGTTGATGGCTGGCTATAAAGTCCTTGACTGTTGTTTGCTTCTGCTGGGCAAGGAGGACCCAGGTTGTTGGGACAATATGCTGCCTCTGTAAACTACTTAGAGGGAGCTGTAAAGCACTATGAAGCAGTATATAAATCTAAGTGCTATTGCTATTGTGATTTTCCTACTATCTTTTTTACCAAAAGACCAGCTATCCCCATGACTTTTAAACTGTTAAAAAGCAAATTAATGCAAAAACAATGAATAGAATACACAATTCAGCATTGTGTAATTCTGGGAAAAGATTTTCATCTTCACATAGGGTATTACATACAATCACGTTGTATGGATTGTTATAAGTTCCATGGATTTTTCTTAATACAAATTATTTTATATTTTAAAAATATAATTTTAAATACTACACATTACTTAAATGGTAAAATCTTAGCTCCTTAGAATTATATCTTCTCTAAATAAATAAAGCTTGCTAGGTTAGTACTGTAGAAAAGTCACCAAAGATTGTTGCTGCATTCTAAAACATACTTTCAAATAATTTTAAGGAATAGTGAATTCAGAAAGATTTGGGAAATGTCTTGATTTAGTTAAATATGCCCTGTGCTATTTATCCAGACCTTTGCAGAGCCCATTTGTTTTTCTGAGAGATAAAATGAACCTGAAAAAATGTGTCTGAAGGTAGCTGGTTTGAAAAACGTTGTCCTTTAACAAGATTTTTCAATATATACTTACTCTTCCAGCTAATCAAATGTTGACTATTCTACTTGCATTGGATTTCCAAGTTTAATGTGATTAATCATTCTGGTATGGCTGAATAAATTGCATAGTTCTTGAATTTTGATCACCATTATTGCTTCTATTACAAAATTATTTGATTCTTATTTACTGCTAAAATCCTAGGAGAATCCTATAAAACTGGACATTTAGGGACATATGCAAAGGGACGTTAGCATTTCTATCTTCCTGGAGTTTGCTCTACAAATGGAGGATCTGATATAAATGTTGTGCTATCAACATACTGTCCCTGAACCAAGGGCATAGCAAACACTGAACTGTTCACTTAGGGAAAGTGGCATCAAAATAAATCATATAAAAATGAGCAGAAGGTTACAGTGGCAAAATCAAATTTAGTTGGGGAAAACACAAAGGAAGTATTAATTTTTCAGGAGTTACTACTGAGGAAGATATAGTTCTATAAAGAATAATGCTGGGAAATGAAAATATTTATATGTTCTAGTGAAAACTGTGAGTATGAATTAAATATAAAATTACACTGTAATATAGGTAATAGATTTTGGCTCATTCTCGGATATAGTAGTAGAAAGACACAGGTTGAGGACCATAGAGGCAAATATCTCACTAATACTCAGAACTAAATGTTAATAAAATCACTATTTTCATGCCCCTCTGTGAAATGAATAGTCTTTGGTCAAACAAGAGGGAGAATCGTCTGGCTAGCCTCAGATGTCACAGAGGAATTCTCAGTGCACAGATTGTAGGACCTGGATTTTCTGTAAGGATGGATTGTGGCAAAAAGGTTTAGGATATATTGCTCAGGAGATCAGGAGTTTCCATTTCAAAGGATTCAAGTTCTCAGTGACCTGTCAAATGTAAAACTCTGCAATACAGGTATGTCAACATTACTCTATCAGCTCTATATGCATCTGCCAAAGACTTGTACTATGGTGAGTTGTTCAGAAAACAATACTATTTTTCCAGTCAGAAATAATTATTTCTAAGTTCAGTGGGAGATTGAAGTTTAAAGTCTATCATATGAACTTACTGACCACAATGGAAACCAGCAACCCTATCACTAAGTAGCATGGTCATGAAGTGGTCATTAGGAGCCTGGATAGCTCAACAGACAGACCAGCTGTCTGCAATTAAAGTAAGATCGAATCCCGCTAGGCTTAAGGTTGACTCAGCCTTCCATCCTTTCTAAGGTAGATAAATTGAGGACCCAGTTTGTGGGGGCAATAAGCTGACTTTGTATAAATATACAAAAGTATGAAGGCTATTGCTTAACGCATTGTAAGCCGCCCTGAGTCTCCGGAGAAGGGCGGCATATAAATCAAAATTAAAAAAAAAAAAAAGAAAAAGTGAAATACTATGTGACTATGCCAAACTTTTCTCACTTCTATTGAGGTCAATAAATCACCTGCAGTCATTAAGCCCAATGTCATGTAACTTGAACTTGCGACTTACTGCGGGCTTCCCCAATGATTTTATTTATTTATTTATTTATCGGACTTATATGCCACCCTTTCTCCACAAAGACTCAGGGCGGATTTTGTTTGTTGGAAGCTAGCTGTGAAAGTTATAAATGGCAATTACATCACTGTGGGACGCTGCAACCATTGTAAATGTGCACTGGTTGCTAAGCACCCAAATCACGAACCAATAACCATAGGGATGCTGTTATAGCTATCCATTCATAAATCTACATTTTCAGCATCATAAGTTTGAACAGTCATTGAGTGAGGTAGTCATTAACCAATAACTACCTATATATTCTTCTGGTATTTCAAAGAGCAGTCATCATCATCTCCAGATAAGCATATAAATAAAGTTCAGTTAGAACAATAGAAAATACTTGAAGGTGATAACTCTGAATCCATAAAGTTAAAGGATCATTTCATGAAATTACAGAATATGCGCCTTCAGTACGGTCCTCAGAATTTACTCTTCCTGAAACAAGCAGCCCAATAGCATTTGGGCTTTTAACATTTCCATGTATTCTGGATTCCTGATCAACCTGGCTGTTTGTTGAAAGTCAAGAATGAGAAGCTGGGAGTCATTTTTTTTAAAAAAAATACTATTATTATTATTATTTAGTTGTTGAGATATAACAAACAAATGCAACAATAGAGACCTGATGGTTGAAACTGGCAATGCTTCTCTTCAGAAAAAGATGCTTTTAATTTGTTGTTATTCATCTCACTTCACAAATATGGCTTTGACAAAGTTAAACTGTTTTTATTCTGGCAATAGCAGAAAACCTCTTTTAAGCATAGACTGAATGTATATTTCATATTCATTTATTTGCTAAGTGTTTCATACATTCAGAATTTGTTTCCAACCATTTTTGCGTCAGGTTAAGATTTACCGGTAACTTCTGTATCTATATGGACATGAAGATATTAAGGGTTTTGTTGATAAGTTGAAAAGAAAATTTCAACTTATCAAGATTATTTATTAAGTTCCTACAAAATTATTGTACTATACAATTCATTTAGTATAAATAGCGGTTAAAAATAGCATTTTGTAACAAATAAATACACAATGACAAAGGTTACTATTGAAGGGATTACACATGACAGAAGCTAACATAAAAATTTTCAATATCAGAATTTTACTTTAATATGAAGACATTGTTATCAAAGGGAAATACTCAAGAAATGCTTTGATAAAAATAATCTCCCAGTATCTTTGAAGCGGTTTCATTTATTTTACTTCCCACTGTGTTCCTTATCAGAAGGCCAAGTATAAGAAGTTTTCTAGTTTATGATTAGGAAGGAATCTGATAGATTAGAAGACTCAATTGAAGTTGGACATAATAAGTATTAAAGTATTACATGACGTTAATCCTGCCATTCCATTACTCTCTCAATCATTGTGCACAGACTAATTATTCTGAAGCCCATGTTCAGGAGAAAATAGAAACATACTTACACTGTGATGAAGTAATCTCTTTATTGCATCCACCAGGCTAGCTCTGTACTGGTCCAGAAACAGGCTGACATTGAAAAGAGAACAGTATTCAGATTAAAAAGGGGTTTCATTTCTAACGATTCTAATGCAGATAAGTATAAGGCTAATTACATATGTTTATATACTTCTATGAAGAAAAACTGAATCTAAATTCTTCTCAGTTCATGGTTTCTAAACAAATCCTCAAACTTGTAACCATTTTTGTCTGAAACTGAAGACCAAAGGATTACCAAGATATGCTTTTAGCTGAAATACTTTTAAGATAAATAGTTAGGTAATACAATCAGAATTAATACAATATACAATGAATAAATCCCATTCTATTTCTGGAACAGAAATTAATATTAAAACAGGCTGTCCTCTGCATTTTATAGAAAAATTCAATTTATTTTGCTTATTTCTAAAAATATGTATATATATTGTACACTCGTTTTTTTTAATCCTCAAACAAGTTTTTTAGCTGAAATATTAAATACAATTTTAAAAATCTATCTATAACTAAACAAGACACTAGAAGACAGAAATAAAAATAAACACGGCAGCATCAAATTTACTTAATCAACTGTCACAGGTGTTTTGCAGAATAATTAAAAAAAGAACAAGGATACCTCACTGATAGGATAATTCATATTTGCCCACTATATCTTATATGCTTATTTATATATTTATGTCTGTTTGTGCATTCCTTTTTTGTATATGGAGCGCCACCATAGAAATGGCTCTCATTCTTGTTATAATTAAAACTTTTTTTGTAAATCTATTTTAACCTTATTTAAAAGAAGATTCCACTACTTTTACCCAGGAAGCATAACAAAAATTGCTAGAAAATTCATTTTCTTGCCCTCATCAATTTGTAGAGACATTAATTTGATTCCATGGTAATTCCAGCAAGAGTTACAAAGAAGTCAGCTCTGTGGAAAGCATTACCATGTTGCAATGATGAAGTGCATGTTGCTATTGCTTACATTAATGGGCTATGTTGCTTTAATTTAATTACATTTAATTATAAATTAAACCCGATTTAGTTTTGTTGTGTCCCCATTTTTTTTTTATTCTGATACCATTTGTAGGAATATGACCTCTGGCGTGCCACTCCAAGGCCCCCCAAATCTGATAAACCTAACTGGAATGTTAATTTTTTTCTGCAAACTGTGAAAAAAAAATGGAGAGCGACATATCAATTGGTTTTACTTCCAATTGAAAGAGTAGTTCTCTACTCTTTCAATTGGGAGTAAAACCAACTGATTTTCCATCAACCTGTGTATCCCTAATTAGGACTAAGGTGGTATGTTTTTCAGTGGCCCAGGAGACTCACCAATTGAAATGAAGTTGAATATCTAAATTGTAACTTCTGTTGTCCTCTATGCCATTTCGGTAAGAAGTGTAGGGAGAACGATTGAGTGGTTTGGTTTAATTAGCATATACAGAAGCCCATTTAGGTGAGAGAGATTCCAGAAAAACAAATTATATGGAGGCAATATGACATTCTGTGTTGAAACCTACATTTTTATATTTTCTTTGTGAATTATTATTAGCACTTGTGAAGCACTGATATTTCTTTACATTTAATAGGTTTCATCTTTTTATTTTGCATGTATTATGATAGCCAAGTGCCACCATCCATGATGCTTCTGATACAAATCTGAGTTGTTCGCACTTCATCGTCATTAGCAGCTCTGCATAACTTCAGTAAGGAACAAAGCTGTCATGCACTGAAACACATTCATTATGGGGAGAAATGGAGCTCTTATTTTCACACCATCAGATCATTACAGAAAATGAAAACAAATGGAAAAACTTGATCAAAATGAACAATAAATTATTATTACAAAATTCGAAAACCTTGTGCATGTTCTTGGTAGTGTGACCTATCATGCATTTTATAACAATATGCAGTTGGTGCTAACGGCAGTGAGAGCTATCAGAGGAAATCAGAAATGGAATTCACACGAACCAGTCTTGAAACTAAAACTATCTGTAAATGGATGGACCGATGCCTGAAATAAATACATACTTGCCATTCATATAAACATTGAAGAAGTAGAGATACTTCCTCTATTAAAATCCAGGTGATAATTTGTGCCTCCCCAAACCCATGTCATCCGTACTTATCTCGTGCCATCCCATTAGCTCTGTACTTTCTGAGAAAGAATATCACTGTTTTTATTTTGTTTTCTAGCAGAAACTCATTAAAAAACCTTCATCCTTTACATTAATCAAAGCCATAAAAACAGTTCCTGTTCCATTCTCAGATACCAACAATTACATATAAACAATTACTTTTATATGGCATAATATATTGAACTAACATTTTTCTTTTAAAAAAAACCCTGTAACAAATGCCCCAATATTTGGCTTGTTGTTGTTAGTCGCAGAGTTGTGTCCAACCCATCGCAACCCCATGGACAGTGTTCCTCCAGAACTTTCTGTCCTCTACCATCCCCCAGAGTCCATTTAAGCTCATGCTGACTGCTTCAGTGACTCCATCCAGCCCCCTCATTCTCTGCCATCCCCTTCTTCTTTTGCCCTCAATCTTTCCCAGCATTAGGCTCTTCCCCAGTGAGTCCTTCCTTCTCATTAGGTAGCCAAAGTATTTGAGTTTCATCTTTAGGATCTGGCCTTCTAAAGAGCAGTTAGGGTTGATCTCCTCTAGGACTGACCGGTTTGATCACCTTGCAGTCCAAGGGACTCGCAAGAGTCTTCTCCAGCACCATAGTTCAAAGGCCTCAATTCTTTGGCGCGCAGCCTTCCTTATAGTCCAACTTTCACAGCCATGCATTGCAACTGGGAAAATCATAGCCTTGACTATACGCACTTTGGCACAGTGATATTTAGTAACATTTGGCTATACATGCTAAATTCATAACCACTGTAGTCACTTTTCAAAACACTGCATGCCAGAGTTTTGATGCAGAAAAATGCCACTGTGATAATCCAACTTTGCCCATAGATCCATCAAATTTCAATAGCCCATAGGAAATAAAAAAATACACCTGACTTAATGACTCAAAGAAAAAAAAAAGATGGGGAACCAAGGCACTTCCAGGCAATGCTTTCCCAATTCCTGGGTGTTTAAGAGCATTTCATCTACAGAGGCAAAGTTGCCCTGGTAGCTTCAGGTAAGTCAAGCCATGATTGAAGGTATCAGCATAAATTCACAGGATAGTTTGAGATTTGGTATGGGATTGTTGTGGCTACAATTTGGTAAATGAATGGTATAAAACAGCTAACATAGGTCATTTACTTCCAGTTATCATTATTTATGTTATGGTTGAAGAAACCATTTCCCATTTTACGTGCCTTAAACTATACACATAAACCTGCCTAAAAGTACTGCATTCCTTTTACCTTATTCTATGTTATAAGTATACAATACTGTGAATTTTTTCCCCCTAATATTTGCTTTATTTTTTTGTCTGACTATTCTTTATCCCATATTCCCAAAATTTCATAATTGCGGGTTAGCTAGTTGCAAGTTATTTAATCTTGTTTTTCTATTTATTTTATACCTGGCCTGACCTGAATTAGGACATAGATTATTGTTGTAATTATTAAATATTGTAAACCTTTATTAATTTCCTTTCTATTTCTGTGCATCAACTATTTCAGTATTAGAATGTAAACATAGATATAATTTAAGCATTTAGCAGAACGCTGGGTTTTATAATCATGCATATTTTACTTGAATCTCAGTCTGACTTCAGAATTCATTTATGAATGGAGCTTGCATCATTCTTATTTTAATAAATGGAATCAAGTAGTACCAATGGCTAGCTAATCAGAGCATCATACTATGCCAATTTTCTTTAAACAGCACAATAGGAATCTGTCATTTCCCTTAATATTTGTACCAAGGTTTCTGCTGTATTCTAATTCCAGAGTTTAACAGCTGACAATGATCTGGATAATGTTGTTAAATGGATATTACAAAATTATTCTACCTATTTTTTGTTTTTATTTCTACACAGTTTTGAAACCTCTTAAATATTAGCACATGCAAACATAGCCCATATATAACTATGAATTATTACCCAATGTTATTGTTTTAATGAAATTCCAAATTTAAAAAAATGAAAATATATTTAATTGCCAACCTAGTAGTTCAGATTATATATTGCACTATAAACTCTGTAAATTATTTCTGTTAGAAAAAGAAAAATGCAATATTTAGTTCCTCAAACTAATATATGGGTATGCTTATATAGTATTTTGTCATTAATTAAAGCATATTTGTTTTAATACTGTGGTAAATCCACAGAACTAGGTGCATTTCATATCTACTAGTGAATGTATATTTATTAACCATAATTCTTTGTTTTCTAGTGAGGCTACAATTCTTCTGGGAATTCTAGCAATTTATTCATTAGACAATAGAATAATAGACAACAATAATACATAGTTTTTAAAAAGTTAAGTTAAATCTTGTTGTTTCTGATATTCTCTAGCCAGTAAATATTAGGATATGTATTAGGCATAATAAATAGGATATGTATTAGGCAAAAATGAGATACAATAGTCAGGTTGTTTTGATATTTGTGTGAAGCACAAATTTAACTCAAAATCTCTTGGCAAACCTTGCTTCACCCACATAATCTGGAGAACATCCCTATGCAAGCCTTGTCTAAGCCTCTGAGAAGACTGCTGCCCTCCTGCTCACGTCCGCCAGAATCTGATCTGACTTTCATACTTAATCTGATCTAATCCTGTCCAGCATTAACTTCATCTGTGCAATGAAACCCAGAGTATCCATTCTAATATTTGGTGAGGAAGGCATTTACTAAATTACTTGCTGAAATCATATGGTGTTGTTTAGCTCCTTATTTTAATCAGATGATGCATCTCTGAGGCACATTATCAGCGATTAGTTAGAAACCCATGTCTGTCCTTTTTGGGAACAAAGAAGTTTTGCTGAAAGGCTATGCATTAGGAAAAGAAAGCCTGTTTCATTCATTGGTTAGTCATAAAAGGAGAAAATAAAGGGCAAAGAAAAGCATTATACAGAACTAGAAATATTTTATTAAAAGAAGTATTTTCAAAACCATGTCTATAGTTTATGAATTTAATTCACTATTTTAAAGGACACAGTGGTTAGTTTCTTCCTTAAACTATTCTGTTTCTACAGTCACTTAGAATATTTTTATAAAGAACATCTGCATTAAAAATGTGTATTTATTCTTCTTATCTTGCATGCCAATTGCTTTACAGAAGTTAATAGTCAAAATCTTGTGGACTGTCACAGACCAGCATCCAAGAAGCTACACAAAACTGAGTTATGTATTTGAAATAATATTGCTGTTAAAATGTATTTTCAAAACATATTTCAACTGAAATCATTGTGGACTTTATACAATTAGATAAGCCACCAGAAATAAACATTATTTTATATCAACAATCAAATTTACTTAGATACATAACAAAGCATTCTTTAACTTGTCAATCAACCAATGGTAAATATGTTTTTCTCTGATTTCTTTTTATTGCAGTTGATTTACTATTAATTTTAACATCTGAGTATCACTAAGGAAATGCTTGTTGTTATTTTCTTGAGCAGCTTTAAAAAAATGAAGAGAAAATTCCCAAAGATTTAATTGGGAACACAGAATATATATCCTCTTATATCAATAGTCAGATCTTTCCTAAGAAGTAAGCTAATTGAGCTGTTTGTGTTGATAAACTCCCTTTTCTCCAGACTGTTCCTCACTGAGCCATAATTATTTGCAATTTGCCTAAGTCGTCCATTTACTGATACATCAAGCATGAAACAGAGGCAATTCCAGAAAATGGAAATGCTTCTCAAAATCAATCTTTGGGAAATAATGTGGTAGAAGTTACTGTGTGATAGAAGACTACCTTAGAACTGTCACATGGAGATGAATATTAATTTGTTGAGGTTAAGATGGCTTTGTGCTTCATTTGTTGACTTTGCTTAGCCATCAGCAAGCAGCACAGTACAATTACTTCAGCAAAGCTATTTTTTTTCTCACATGAATTTTATGATTTTTATGTACTTACCAGTCAGCACACATAACAATGTCAAAATGTCCTTCCAGTTGAGAGACATCTGTCTCATTATCCCATCGTAAAATGCTAGAAAGAAAGAAAATATTTTTTAAATCAGGACTTATGTGTTTTATCTTTTTCATTTCTAAAAAAAAAGGTGCATTTAGTATGTTGATCAAGAGTCAAAAAAATGATTTATTAAAAGTACATAACATGATTGTAAAGAGTGAATATAAACGTATAAATTAGTGACATCCACTATAAATATAGCTTTATATGAACAGCTGGTTAAAGAATTCCTATAAGTAAAGTGATATATACAGGAAGTCCAAAGTTTTGCCCCTTAGTAATTAAATTGCAGTATTGCTTATTGTATTGCAGTATACATTTGCAAACCAAAATATTGCTTTCTTCTTTCTCTGCTTGTTGTGATAAGTGTTCACTGTCTTTATTATTGATAAACCCACTGTTTCCTTTAGCTTTATAGGAAGGACAGAGAATAAGCATTCTTGAAAGTATGCCAACATTATATTATTAAGATTTGCTCTTGACTAGCTCATGTTTAATTCCAACATCTGGAATATAAAAAGAGTTTTAAATTTCATTTCCAAAACAAAATTATGAGTAACCGGAACGAGAGGTTATTTCTTTAAAATAATATTTACAGTATATGCATGTTGTTTAAAAGTGCTTTTGTTACAAAATGTATTGTGTTGTGGGGTTTTTTTTGTGTGTTTTGTGATCAAAAGAGTACATGTTTCATTTGCAATTATTGGTACAAAAGCTAAGAAAAGCTAGAAAGAAAGGGGAATGATATATCCAGTCTGATACATATTTATTTCTGTTTTAGGACTTTTTATTCACTACTGACAACAGTTTCTGGTTAAGATTATCTGCAGCTGTGGTTTATATGATTCATGTTTATGGTTTATTCATAATATTTTCTTTGTGAAAGATGATTTTTATTGTTCAACAATATGCCTTACATACATAGAAAATTATTAGAATCCTTGAAAAAAATCATTGTTGATGTACAACATCATGGGGGAAGGTTGTGTAGAATATCAGACTAACAAAATAATAATGCAGAACTCACTCACTAATTTACCCTCCTGGAATGTATTGTGCCATTCCAAGGGGGAAAAACAGTAGGCTAATTTAATCACCGCATAACCCCAAGTACATACATGCATGCATATACAGACCCATACATTCACACCCATTTAAACTATAAAGCGGGTACACATTTTCGAAACCTAGGTGGCTTTGCAAACTGGCACTTTCAGGGCTCAGCAGGCATCCACTAGTGGAAAGTGACAAAGGAGAGTTCTCACTCTCAGCTGCTGACTGCCTGCTGGCTACTGGCGGCTTTTTCAACCCTGTTTCCGTGGAAACTTAGGTTACAACAGTGAAAATTAGGTAAAGGTAAGTTGGTGGGGTTGCTAGTTTTCATTTGATTTTGATTTTTTTAATAATAAAAAAAAAACCCCGAAGCTGCAACAGCAGCTAGTGGTTGAGTTGCTAGCTTTAAAGGCCATCACTAGTCTGTCATTCCACTGAAAGGCAATCCATGAAGACAAATAAGAACTGCAAAGTTTATGATTATTTTTTTTCTAAATCCTTTTTATTAGTCCTACATATATTGAAGATGACTCAGTAATTTTCCAGCATCAACCACTGCACTTTAAAAGCTTCTGGATTATTAACTTTGTTCTTGCATTATACATTTCATTAGATTTTTTTTTTAATTTCAAAAGAACCATACTCTAAAATATACTTTCTAATAAAATAAAATGTTATTTTACTCTTTTGGCTATTCCAGTACATACCCACACCCACACCCACTTCATAAAAGCTAAGTAACTGGCTCAAAATACATTATATGCCCCTCTCCAAATTTTGAACAAATATCTGTGATTCATTTTCAGTTACATCATTTTTAAACCAGAAGAGAGATTTAGTTTTTAGATGTGAGTAATGGAATTGGCTTTTGAAGGGGATAGGAAGAGGATAGGATGCTTACTTCTGCCACCTTCTGATATTTTCCCTTAGCCATTTTAACTGGGAAAGTATCCAAAACTCTTTTGCACAGGATATATACAGAATAGATTTCCTGAAGTAAGCTCGGTTTGGTTATTTTTTCAGGTAGCATAAAAATTATTATAGTCAATTCAAGATCATTCAAATGTGAGAAAGAGCACACTTTACTGCTTCTATTCTAGAAGTTCTAGTTGCAGATACAAGATTACGTCTTTGAAAACTTTCCAAATGCCTTTTTAATAATCCCATGTTAACTTTCCTTATGTAAGGGCAGTAAACCATGGCTCTTTAGTGCAGGACATGCAAAAGGTTCTCAGTTTCAATTTCAGTTAAGGATAAGGAAATTAAAGGGATAAAAGAAGCAGGTGATCTCTGCTGAACATAAGAAAATCGCTGCCTTCAAAGCAGACAACAGTGCAATTTAGGAAATTTCTTTATACAAAGTCAAATAATTGATCCCCCTGATATATTTCATTTGGTGCAATCTATACTGAACGGAAGTACCTCTCCACAATTTCAGACATGTTTTGGCCAGCTCTATAAATTCTTTCATATTAAGGTAAATGGACAAATAACACCACCTCTTTTCCAATTTTTTAATGGAATCCAATCATTGATTTAAATAAACCAAACAAGGACACATTACTATAACTATGACAGGTTAAAGGGCAGAAAGGAATGGCTTATTATCTTGAAATCCTATTTTCTCCCACTAGTATAATTCAAACCACAATGCATGGTAATTATCATTTGTGAATCTACATTTGAAAGGCAGTAAAAAGTATGAGAAGAAGGCCTATTCCCTCATCAGCCAAGGAAGGGCTGATCTGTATTTATCTAGAAGCAAATCAAAATCATTCCAAAAATACTTAATCTATACGAAGGAAACACAATATATCAAAATGTTCAACTTGGAGCCATATAATTCAGCTTCAGTGTCTACCTAAATACATAATGGAAAGTTTAGTGATAGCATGTGTAGGATAAAAGAAACTGTAAGTCATAAATAGCATAAATTTAAGAGTAAGCAGGAAAGTTGAATACATTATATATAGCTATCATAATTCTATCTTAATCAATCAACTAACTTATACAGAACTCAATTTATCCAGAGGAAATAGGAATAGAATAAAAAGAGCCAGTTTGGTCTAGTGATTAAGGCACCAGGATAGAAACTACAAGATTGTGAGTTTTATTCCTGACATGGGCATGAAAGCCAGCTAGGTGACTTTAGGTCTGTCACTCTCTCTCAGCTCAATTCACCTCGCAGGGTTGTTGTGAGGAAAATAGGAATAGTACTATCATATGTGTTCACCAACTGAGCTATGTATAAAAATAATAAAGGTGGGATATACAGTAAGTAACCAAGTAAGTTACTGACTAAATCCCCAAATGCAGATAAGCTCCAGGTTACAATACATTAGGAATAAAATATGGAAATATTGCACCTTGATGAGCTATCACACATCTTCTTTTGATGGCTGGAATGGTAGGCCAAAAATATCTAACTCAATGTTCTTTACAGGAACATGGCAAAAACATATATTAACTTCAGAGAGTGCTCCCTTTTGACTGATGTTGACCAATCTGATCAGGGATGATATTATATTCCCTAACTGATAAATTCCCAAATATGGAGATAATAAAAACTATAAATAAGTACACACCAATGAAAAAATGGAAACCTTGCTAAAAAAATATGAAAAAGTATTTAAGTGGGAAACCATTTTTTCATCAGTGATTTTCAATGAGACTCTAATCTCAGGTACTGTTTGTTGCAGGTGCAAGGCAAGAGAGAAATACATTATTTCATTCTTGAACTTTTTTGCAATATCTACTTACAAAGACACAAAAGACTGGGTAGTCTTTTCAATCACTTAAAAAAATAAAAATGCAAACAGAAGTCATGTGATTAACATATTACATGGTGGCGCAGTGGTTAGAATGCAATACTGCAGTCTAACTCACTGCTCACTCCAGAAGTTCAATTCTGACTGGCTCAAGATTGACTCAGCCTTCCATCCTTCCGAGGTCGGCAAAATGAGGACCCAGATTGTTGATATGCTGACTCTGTAAACCGCTTAGAGAGGGCTGTAAAGCACTATGAAGTGGTATATAAGTCTAAGTGTTCTTGCTGTTGATATTGCTATCTCTACAGTTTAATGTTTATTACACTACGAAATATAACATATTTATGCATATAGATTTTTTTTAATACCAGTATTATTCATTAACATTCCTGTTCCCAGATAAGTTAGAAAAACAAAACCATTAAAACAATAAAGGCAACTATTGATTTATAATTATGGTAAAGCAGTAAATAGAGCCAATTTGTGTAGTAATTAAGGTATCAGGTTAGAAATTATAAAATATGATTGTTAGAGATAAATAGTTGATCAATATTATAATACTAATGTCTGTCAAAACAATCTTTTTTTATGGGTGGATACAATGCTCAGATAACGATTCTCATCTTTGAGAATCTTGAGAACAAACCTAAGCACAAAGACCAGATGTATGTCTTTGGAATTAACTCTGTTCATTGTCCAACTGGGATTTATCAGTATTTTAGATAACAGATTTGCCCAGTTCTAGGCAAAAGGATTATAAGAATTGATCCTCAGAACTTTTGCAGACAAAGCTTGTATCTGCTGTTAAGAATCTTCCCTTATTTTTAATTTTGATACAATTCAGGACAGAAAATTATATCTTATTGGTCATGAAGATATTGCTTGTTTTTCCAAAATTGTTTAGAAATCAGAGACATCATTATTGAAAATCTTCATGTTAGCATCAAGAGATTGTAAATATTTCATTAATAAAACTAAAAGATTTCCCCCCCAAATAAACAGTTGTGCTGCACAGTTGTGATCATATGCACCTTTATTTATAAAGATAGCTTACTGTTTCTTCTGCACTGTTATTAACACCTGTTTCATGGCCAAGGCTAGCGGAAAAACCTTCAGATGCTTTCATTATTGTGCTTTTGTTGGATGTTCCCAGAAATGATATGTTAGGCATCATGGATCACCTTTTACTGCTGAAAATCCCACATGTATGATAAATGTCTAACTTAGTTGTGAAGCTTAGCTCATTCCTTGAAAATTTACAGTAAATATTTTGGGTAAAAGTGACACAAGACTAGCTATAAAACTGTAAATATACCTTCCATATTTTCATCAATGAAGACCAATGTATGGCCATTAAGGATTAAAACTCTTACAGATTTATTTATTTATTTATTTTAGATTTAAAATATGAAATAATTTATTTCTAAATAAATAAGAGAGCCATAATAGGAGCCGTGGTGGTGCAGTGGTTAGAATGTAGTATTGCAAGCTAATTTTGCTGACTGCCAGTTCGATTCTCATCAGGCTCAAGGTTGACTCAGCCTTCCATCTTTCCAAAGTCATTAAAATGAGGATCCAGATTGTTGGGGGCAATATGCTGAGTCTGTAAGATACGGCTCTAAAGCACTGTAAATGGTATATAAATCTAATTGTTATTGCTACAATCAAAATTTACACAACAGAATTCCTATAACTAGCATAGAAAGTTAATTAATATTTTTCATTTTTATAGAAGATTTTTAGAAAAGTAATTAACCACTGCTACCTATGATAATGTAATATCCTGGCTGAGGCTTAGGAAAACTGTAATTTAAGAAAGGGAGTAAATTGATGACATGAAATTAGAAAGAAGAGCTAACATTTCAAGAAAACTGAAATAAAACTCAACAGATAAAATTCAGCAAGTATCAAACTATTGACAAAAGACTTTCATCAGTGCCATTAACCATGTCTTCCTACAAATATGGAACTTGTGGCAGTTTGGGGTATCTTCTCTTTGCCTTCTGCTGTTTTTCTCATCATATTCCAATTTATAGTGTTTTTAATTATATGAAAAAATTGGTAGTCAATCTGTCTTCTTAATTTGTTCCACATTCAAAATCAATCAGACTGGCCTTACACATCTGATACTCTCTGTTCCTCATTGAAGGAAAGGGAAATAATGGTTACCAATGAAAAGAGTAATTTACTGAAAACCTGCCAGAGCTTCTACTCTTAGAAGGTAAACACAACAACCTATTCCCCAAACAAAACTCCATTCATGCCTCTTGAACAGAGGTGTAACATGCCCCTTTGATATACTATTGTGTACAGCAATAATTCAAAATATAACTAAAGCCTAGATCTTATAGGAACATTTATCAAATTATATAACTTTGATTAAGGAATTTGCAGGCTAGGATTATACAGTGCTCCAAAAATCATATTTAAATTCTTTTGGTTACAGATGAATTCTATTAGTTTTAGCAAAATTCACAACAACTTATAGATATCAATAGAAAAGAGACAAGGAACACCAGGAAATCTTAAACAATACAGTAGGCTACAAAAATCCTATTTATATGAAAAGTTTTAAATGTGAATGTATAGTTCATAAAAATAACTAGTATGACCTATATTGAAATGCAACATCATGTATTTTTCTGTAATGAAATTATTTCATGCATAAAAGCAGAAAATGCTATTGTACTCAGTGTGTTAAACACTTGACATTTTCCAAAGCAGAAAATGCAACATTTCAGAAATCTAGATATGTTTATTAATTAGTGATTATTAACACCCAGTAAACAACATTATGCCTTGTAAAAACACAATCTTTCTTCACAGCATGGTGTTGAAATCTATTATTCACTGATTCTATATGCTGAAATACACTCAAATGATCACAAATGACCTTAAACATTAGATAAATGTAAATGAGGACATTGTTGAAAATGTGTTTTGATTGATATCTAAAAGACCAGGTTGGAAATCTTGACAAGAGATGGTCCTACATATACTGCATGGCAATTTGAAACCTACAGAATATATGGGTGCATAAAAAACCTAAAAAGAGGTTTATTCACAATAAACTGAAACCTGAGATCTTCTTGGAAATGAAAATTTGAATATGTGTTTGTGCATGTGTGTTTTTAAAGTATAATCTCACACTGTATATTCTAAGCACACAAACATATACACATTTTATATTTGGCAATAATGGCAAGAATAAATTAATAAATAAGTGACCATACAAATCTCAAAATATCAAATTATTGACAGCACAAAATTTTAATAAATATTGATTGCAGGTGGCAATGATTACTGCAATGTGAATGCAAATATGTTTTTTCCCCATTTTTCTTCAACATTTACAGCCTCTGGTTTGAAAATGAAATATTAGGCAGATATCTATAAAAAAGAAGGATTCAACTGCAGTGGATTATCAAATTTAGAATTATTGAAATCCACTAACTTAAATCCTCTTCTTTTTAGTCATTCATAACTGTGAATTAATCTTGGGCCAATCCATCATCTTTTGATTATTCCATGTTCAACACAAGCACACATATGTCTATGTCTAATCTTTGAAGCTTTGAGTACAATATCCTTATTACCAAGTAATTGTATTGAAAAAAATCGGGAAAAAACCAGAGAACTTTGAGAAATGAGAACATGGAGATACACTACAGAAATGTAGTACATGTAGTACATCCGTGGTTTTGGGGTGAAGTACCACCAGTATGCTGACGACACCCAGCTGTACATCTCCACCCCAACGATGCCCTTGAAGTGATGTCCTGGTGCCTGGAGGCCGTGCGGATCTGGATGGGGAGGAATAGGCTCAGGCTCAACCCATCCAAGACCGAGTGGCTGTGGTTTCCGATGTCCCGATATAGTCAGTTGGTGCCATCACTGACTATTGGGGGCGAATCATTGGCCCCCATGGAGAGGGCGCGCAACTTGGGCGTCCTCCTGGATTCACGGCTGTCTTTAGAAAAGCACTTGACGGCCGTGACCGGGAGGATTTTTCATCAGGTTTGCCTGATTCGCCAGTTGCATCCCTTTCTGGATCGGGACTCGTTACGCACAGTCACTCATGCCCTTGTCACCTCCCTCCTGGACTATTGCAACGCTCTCTACATGGGGCTCCCTTTGAGGAGCACCCGGAAGCTCCAACTGGCACAGAGTGCGGCCGCGTGGGTGGTAATGGGAGCGACATGGCGTTCCCATGTAACACCTCTCCTGTGCGAGCTGCACTGGCTCCCGGTGGTCTTCCGGGTGCGCTTCAAGGTTTTGGTTACCACCTTTAAAGCGCTCCATGGCTTAGGACCTGGATACTTGCGGGACCGCCTACTACCACCAATAGCTTCCCACCGGCCGGTACGCTCCCATAGCGAGGGGCTCTTCCAGGTGCCGTCGGCCAAACAATGCCGACTGGCGGCCCCCAGGGGGAGAGCCTTCTCTGTGGGGGCACCTACTATCTGGAATGAGCTCCCCCCAGAGATACAGAGGATCCCAGATCTGCGCACCTTCCGCCGCGCTTTAAAGACCTTACTATTTCACCAGGCGGGCCTGGCCTAATTTTCTCCCTCTTTTATCAAAGATTTTTAATTTTTAAATATCTTTTAGTATTTTATACATTCAATTTTAAAATTGGTTTTAAAAAGTTTGGGGTTTTAAATTTGTCGGGGCCAAAATTATTTAATTTGATTTTATTCTACTTTTAAATTTTGTATGTATGTGTTTTATTGTTTGGCTGTGCACCGCCCTGAGTCCTTCGGGAGTAGGGCGGTATAGAAATCAAATCAAATAGATAAATAAAATAAATGATCAATCATTATCTGAAAATTGTTTGCTTCTTAACCTCTTTCCAAAGATGTTAGTCCTTTGTTCAACATTATCTAGAAACAGATACAAATTTGTCTGATATGAACTAGGCTAATGTTTCTTGATAACTACATGGTTAGTTTAGGAAGCTATTATCCATTGTTTAATTTCATCAAGGCATACGTAATAAATAGCATTAAGAACATAGGGACATCTGGATGACTGGATGACTGTAACCTTGTTGCTGGTATCCTTACAATTTATATTGACTGGTTTTTTTAGTATGATTTGATTGCTTATTTGTTCCCTATGACTATCATTAAGTGTTGTACCTTATGATTCTTGATGAATGTATCTTTTCTTTTATGTACACCGACAGTGTATGCACCAAGACAAATTTCTTATGTGTCCAATCACACTTGGCCAATAAAGAATTCTATTCTATTCTATTCTATTCTATTCTATTCTATTCTATTCTATTCTATTATCAGAACAATGGACTAGAGGCCAGGATCATGTTAGCCAATATCCTTGTGGAATCACTTAGAGGTAGCAAAATAAAACCCAAGGAAACCCCAAACTAAAACCCATTGATTTAACTAAAAATAATTTCTACAGGAATTGGCAGCAGTTTTCCAGATTATGGATAGATTTTTTTTCAGATTTATCTTGAAAGGTTTGGGATTGCCTTTGGGATTCAATGCATGGATTAAGCAATCCCTGAGCTATGTTTGTTTCTTCATGGGGTACAGTTAAACAGAGAAATATTCTTTCCCAAGTTCAAATATAATTTGTATTCAGTTAGTGGATAGATATGTAAAATATTAATATATAAACAAAGTTTATATATTGTCTGTCCTTAACAATAATAGTTCCTCATATGTATACAAATGTTTTACATTTAGCTGACATAATTCACACCTTGCAAAACATACGCAAAGTAAAGCAAATGTTTTTGTAAATTCACTTTTCAGAACTTTAAAAAAATCATATAGATGCAGATAGATATGCATAGTCAATATATATTGCACAATTAATTTATAATTTTTGCTTGATAAATCTGATTTTGAATGAGGATCAAGCAAGTTTTCAAGCAAGCTAGCATTTGATGTCATTTTAAGAGTAGTAATATAAAATAATAGTTGTGAAGAATATGAAACATCTTACCTGCTTGAGATGGCTTTAGCTCTGAACACTCCAACTTTTTTATTTCTTGTGATGATATCACATACATCTTTAACATAAGTTAAGAATTATCTGTAAATATGTTCCAATCAAGTAACACGCAAGGACTCTTGAAAATTGTAATTAATTACATGTATATGTACATGTCTACTGTGTCACTCTTCACTCATGTATATACGTGGAAAAATCTTAAGGAAATCTTGTTGAACTTTACTTCCTTGATTTACTGATTACAGTGTATGCATGCATTCCAATTTGCCTATAGGTAAATTCTAGACCGAAGGCACAAAAATCAGCAACTTTGTTGAAATTAAGTAGGCCTAGATCTGTGTAGTTTATAGATGAAATAAAAGCAGGATAGCATTAATTATTCAAATGTAATAGTAATAAGAACAATGACACCAACATACAAAGCCAGAATTGAGAAAGCAGCAATTGCCACCTTTGCCAAAAAAAAAAAAAAGCTGATGAAACAGTGGACCACCTACTTAGCTGTCACAAACTGACTACAAACAATCACATGACAAAGTAGGAACAATGGTGCACTGGAAGATTTGCAATAAATATAATTTGCCTAATAAATACTATTGGCATTACACACAAGCACCTGCCACCTAATACCCCAAACTTAGCAATTGTTAATAAGAAAGACAAAAAAGTCTGGATAGTGGACATGGCAGTACCTGTAGACAGCAGAAGAGAAGAGAAAGAACTAGAGAAAATCGCAATATATAAATACCTGCAAATAGAAGAATGGTGGCAAAAGAAAGCAAAGATAGTACCATAGTGATAGGTGCTTTGGATGCAATTCCATAAGATCTGGAGCACCATGTGAAGACCCCTGGCATTGACAAAACCACCATTGGTCAATTGCAAAAGGCAGCTTTCTTTGGAATTGATCACGTCCTGTGATGAAATCTTTAATAACATCTCCCTATCTAAGGTTCTTGGAAAGGACTCCATAGATAGTTAAAAATACCAAATCCAGTCTAAATATCTGGCTGACTCTGTAACGAACCATAATCATTTGGATATGAGTCTTACTAGAAAGTATTGTCTTAGTTTTTATTTCATTTTTCATTTAAGGAAGAAGAAATGTTTCCTTTAAGTTGATATATCCTTTACACCAGTGGTGAAATCTAAAATTTGTTACTACCGGTTCTGTGGGCGTGGCTTAGTGGGGGGGAATGTGATTGGGTGGGCATGGCCAATTTTTTTTTACTTTTAAAACCATTTTTCCTACAACCTCTTCCGCGAAGAGGTTGTAAAAAAATGCTTTCACAAGGCTCTGACAATCCAAGTTGAGTTGCCTGATCGGCAGAGGCTTTTTTCCTTTTAAAAACCTCTGCCGATCAGACAACTCAGCTTGGATCATCAGAGGCATTTAAAAGAAAAAAGCCTCTGCCGATCAGGCAACTCAGCTTGGATCATCAGAGGCTCTTAAAAGCATTTTTTCTACAATCTCTGAAGAGGTTGTAGAAAAAATACTTTTTAAAGCCTTTGACGATCCCAGCTGAGCCGCACGATCATCTGTTTGCAGGTGCTCCCTGGTGAGAAATTATGGGTGTTGTAGCACTAAACATAAGATCAGCACTCAGTTCTGTGTTCTTGCCTTGATAGCATGTATGTATGTATGTATGTATGTATGTATGTATGTGTATGTACGTACAAATCTTTAAAGCATCATTCTTGTCAAGGCACGACATTACACTGTACAATTGTATACTCTAAACAGAGATGACCAAAAGTCACCCAGATGGAGAATAGATATAAATTTCAATCTTTAATATGTTTACACAGCAATGAAGCTCATTTTTTCTCAATATTTCTAGGCATTTGAATTTAAGATTATATGATCTGGCAATAAATTTGATTTTCAAACCTGAATAATTTGAACTGAATTAGTTCAGAATTGCCTGACAAGGGAGTAGCTACTGTATATTATTTAACAAACTTTGCAGATACACCAACTATTTCTACTAAAATAGCAACAATATTTTGTACAAGTCCAAAGAAACAAATCTATACTTTTTATTGACTATTGTTAAATATTCAGTAGGCATGATTGCACTAACAATAGCAGTTTATGTTGATTAGAATACTATTAGAAAAATGCTTAAATTTTGTTTCTTTGTTCACACATATTCATCAATAATGGTTTATAAGACAACAATGCTGAAGATGATGATGACTATGATGGTATTAATGTTTACTTCCTCCTGTAGCTTAGATTTGCCTTTGAAAATATTTCATGGAATTCTGTAAAATAACATTATCTAAATCATAGGGGGGAAAAGACTTAAATATTGTAACTGAACACCCACCCACCTGTTAATTGAACACAGGCCAATAAAGCTCTCAAATTTAGTTCTTGTAACACCTTTCAATAATTTTAATTTCAATAATGTTGATTTAGGTATAAGTTGCCTTAGGAATTCAGCCCTGTACCAGGTTACACACATACAAACATCCCACTGTTACTGAACACAAACCTCACTGTTACTGAACTATAAGTGACTTGCATTACTACAAAAATCCATATTCTAAACACGCACAGCTTCAACCTAGACTTTTTTTAGATTAGTCAAAATTCCATACAAAATTCCATAGTTATATTTAATAGCTGCATTTATATTATGGAATAATTTAATTGCACCTAAAACGTATTCTTTTTTTCTCAATTTCATGGGCAAAAATGTATATAAATTTATTTCGGCCAAATTATTTAATATTTTTAAATTGTCTTTTAACTTTCATATAGTTGTGGGTTTTATTTTTGGCTGTACACCGCCCTGAGTCCTTTGGGAGAAGGGCGGTATAAAAAATTTAATAATAATAATAATAATAATAATAATAATAATAATAATAATAATAATAATACAGGAGAGTAAATAACATAGAGAGCAGACAACCTTAAGGAATGTGTTAAATATTTTAAAAATATTCATATGTTCATATGTTCTTTGAATGTGAAACTTTCTCTGAAAGTTCACCCAACTTTTATTTTTTTAAGCACACTATGTAGCATAGAACCTTCACAATCAGATCAACATTTATTCTCATTTAAAAGATATAAATCTTATGTTCAGTTGATTACTAAATTTCATTTTGGCATAGTTTCTTTCTCTCTGGATATTTTATTTCAAACAATAAAACTCTCCAAAATATACCCATACAAACTCCTTATTTCTCTTATTAAAGATTGCAAATAATGTTTTTCTGAAGTGTAGTTTCATTTGTTTGCATTGTAGTTTAAAAGATTCAGATGATTTATCTATCTATGTAGAGTACTATCTATGTAGAATAAGTGAAATATATTTACAGTATGTCAGATAGCATTGCTCAGGAATATTAGGATTAAAATATGATATGAACCAAAATGGCTTAAAACCTGAAATAGTTAATACAAATACAGAGGGTTTTTTTGGTTCCATATATCGATCGATATTGATTTTGCATTTAGAGAGCACATGGTTTGACAACCCAATAGCAAATGAAATTACTACTCACACAAATGAACTGACAGTAAAACCATCAATGACTGATGGGATGTGAATATGTGACTTTGTGGGGGGGGGAATCAAATCCCCCCCTCTCCCAAATGTAAAATTTCACAAAAATAGAACTCCTTGTCCCCTGTGAATAACACTAATAAGAGCAAAAATAATAAGTAGGCTAATGACAATAATATAAAAATGGATGCTCAGACCCAAAGCACTATTCCAAGTCAATTTTCAGTGACATTTCTCTGATGCAGTCATTTGTTGCTGAATGTGTTCATCTTGCCTATTAAGAATAATTAGCAGGCTTGCTCAGTGATTTCCTGGCTTCTTACTGCGATTCCCCCTCTTCCCGGATTGACATCATTTTAACTTTTAGAAAGGTGTTTTTTTGATATGATAGTGCCAGGGATTACAGGGTTATAAAAAGGGAGACTGGCATATAATTTGGAGTTATTAAAAAGTTTAAAGAACAAAAGTAAATTCTATTTTTAAACAAAAACAGCATTTTAATTTAATTGCTTTTTAATAGGGTACAAAACTAAAGACTTAATTTAGAATTCAAAGATGCAGGTTGTAGAAAATTAATTGGTCACATATCATAGAAATAGTACTGAAAGGATGAATAGGATATATTTACAACACTATTTTACTGGAAATATATCTACCTGACTTTTCATTTTAAGTAAATAATGCTTCCCTAAAAACCACCCTATGTATTCTATTTGCTGTTATACTGTTACATCTGTTGTAGAAAGGCTCAGATAGGAAATTTGTCTTACATTACTTAAGTAAAATTGCATAAAATTATTTAAGAGTGAATCTTAGTGCCAGGTACAAGCATCAGATCACACCAAAGTATAACCCAATAAAACTAAAAGTAAAAACTAAGCCTCTTAATGCTAAATTAATTTGCTAAAACATTTATTTAGTATTATGGATCCAGCCCGTAAAATTTTACAGCAGATTTTGATGGATAACTGTATAGGCATCTAAAAGAGGATGCAATATTTAACATCCAACAGCACCAGCCTGTACATGGTTACACAGAAGTTGAGTACTGGGATCTATTTGCCTCACTGCTAAATAAGCCTGTCTCCCATATATTCATTCGTAAAGATATTTACCTAATTTGTGTGTTTGTGTGTGTGTGTTTACAGATATAATGTAAAGCAAAGTAAGATACTTGACCATTGTGCCTATATTACATATAATTAGATCTTATTTTCTGAAGTAAGAGGAGTACTATTTTCCTGGATAAATATTACAACAAGACTCTGCATTCCCTTTATTTTAAAGCTCTTGTACATCATATTTTTTTTAAAGATGGGCTGTGTTTCTAGTTAGGTCTGCTTTTATCTCTGAATTCTCCAACTAACTGAAACAGTTATAGCTACCTTGAGAGTCCAAAAAAAGAATAAATGTGTTCTTTAAGTCTCCTAGACAATACCTTGTATTAGAATTAAACATGCATTGTAACCACATTTTTCTCTTCTTAAAAATGTCCCTCTAAAGCTTGAATAGACTTGAGAAAGAAGATCGTTTGATAACACTAACAAAGATTTCTCTGTAACTTTGACATTAGAATATCACCTGCCAAAGGAAGGCCCTTAACATGCAAATGTCATTATCATCAAGAAGCAAAGCAAACAGATACCTTCTGCAGCTCCTTCTCAATTTCTGACAGCCATTAATATTCACTATGGGATTCAGCTCTTGTGCTATTGTAGACACTTAGTTAACTCAGGGGGAATAATTTGCAGTCACATTAAAGTGTAAATTGTTTACCTGCATATATACTAATAGGATTAAATATAAAATGAATTCAAATTTGATAATAATAAAAATGTATGGAATGGATAGAAATATTTGAAAATCTTAGTCCAAGAGAAATATTGGACAATGTTCATTAACTGAATGCAGATCCATCTTGCATGAAGTTAGGGATAGGTTGCAAGGGGTGATACTGTGTATACATGATTAAATACAACCCAACTGTAAAAATAAGATAAATATGCAAAAGGGACATATTTACATACTATAATATCTTAAAGCAAACTCAGTGTAAAATAGCCGAATAAAAGAAGTAGAAATTTTTATTGCAGCTGATGTTGAATTTTAAAAACTGCAACATCAGTTGTAATTAACATTCTATTTTCAATGTTGATGGAATGAAATCACTGAAAATTGACAAATATGGATCTTAATAATAAAAATAAAATGGAATAAGTGAATATATGTTTAGAAACACTATATAATTAACTTCTCCACCACTCAAAAAATCACATATATATTTTTTCCAAATAAATAATTATTCAGGATGTGTGTGTTTTATATTTAATATGAATTTATATATATGTATATCTACACATCCACACAAATGCACACCCACAATATAAATAATGCATATTGTTATATAACCCCTTGTTCTATTTTTACACTGAGCATGAACCCAACAAAATGGAATGAATCCAACACACCAGTTTTCTAACTGAATAAGGATACTTTGGATAGCCTTTTCATTTCCATCAGTTAACAGAACTTCTTTGACATCTGCAGAAATAGCAACCTGGAAAGGGGGGAGGGGGAGGGGAGAGGGAGAGAGAAAGAGCACAGCAAACAATGAGCAAATATGCTTGTCTGTGTGGAAGTGAAGACAGGAGTGACAAGCCTTCAGTATCATGCTTCCTCACCTATTTCCCTGTAACAGTCTTCAATCTTTTTTCATTTTATGTCTGCATTATTTTAATCATTCAATCAAATCAGTCAATACTTTTATCATTCCATTTGCGGGAGCCTCTATCTTGCTATCATTCAGTTCCGTAATTGCATTGTGACAGCGGATGATGGTATTCTGAGAGGCTTTCATTTGCGGGCTTCTGTTTATCTAGTAGAGCCATCATCCGAGGCTGTCACTCTGCCTTTCAGCTTGCTTCTGTCTGACTGCCTGATGCCCTTCATATAACTTTGCATTGCAGGCAGATGGCTTTGTAAGGGTAATTTTTTTGTGAGCTTTGACATGCTCGCACATTGGGCTGTAACCTCGACACATTGTGTAAGAACGACAGGTTTGTCAAATGCCAATCAGTGTAACAATATGCTTTTATTTGTAGAGACATAAAAACTTGTCTAATGCACTGCACTGCTACATAATATCTCCTGAATACATGACTCAGAACCTAGAGAATGGTGAATGACGCTTCTGAATGGCCAATCTAATTCAAAAGAATCTAATTACCGAGAGCTCTGGATCATGTTTGTTGGTGTAATAATGCAGGCAAAACATTAGCAGCTATATCATGGTGCTCCAACTGTGATTCGCCAGGCTATTCCTGTATCTTAGCAAATGGTGAAGTATAATCTGAAAGGGGGGGCGCGGGGGAGCGTTAGCTATGGCTCTGAAAGACGGAGTGTATGTGGCCTGGAATGTCACAACAAGAGATATTGACTACACTGAGGTAAAATGTTTCTCCTCGTCGAGGCAACCATAAAATCGATATAATACGAAAGCCAGTCAGTCTAGAAGGTCTCTGAAGATTCTGCAGCTTGACTGCAGCTGATTCTGTTGACAGTTCTCTGACCCAGTCGTTGAAGGCACTGGAACATTTTTCCCTTTTGTTCCCCCCTCTGAATAGAAATGGGATTGAGAAAAGACCTACCATAAGCCCAGCCAAGCATGTCATGCCACCCCCCAGCTCACACACAGCAAGGCCCCTGAAAGAGAGAAAGGAAATGGTAGAACCCATACAAATTAGATGAAAATGGTCAGAGAGACATATATGTTACAAGAACAAATTGCCATCTGTAGTGAACACCGAGGTAGCAGGAAGTAGCAGAGGCATGACTGGGCTACCTCATGTCGTTTTGCGTTTTAAAAATAATTATGAAATAGAAAAGTCACAAAGCAGGCAAACCAGTGGGGGTTCCCTCATTAGTGTTCAGTGCAACATTACCACCGCTGAGCTGAAAAAATCCGAGAAGGTTCTTTTTTTCTCCCTTGTCAATGGCTCTGTCTTTTAGAACTAAACTAGCTAGAGTAGCGAAAGATAATTGTTAGGAAAGGATAACACCGTTAATTCACATTCATTCCTTCAAAAACAGTTAGACAAGTAAATGGAGGAATTAATATTATTTCTTTTTCTCTCTGTCTCTCCCCCCCTCTTCCTCTCCCTCTCTCCCTCTGTAGAACTGTAGAATGAAATAGTTATCAATTGTAACTGACATTGCAAACACTTAGAATGAACTATATACCTCAAGTTAAAAAAATATCAGCCTACAGGTGAAAAGATAGCTTATGCCTTTTAAATTGGAAATAGATTATAAAAGATCGTATTAAGAAGTCTGTTAGAACAATCACTTTGCCAGTAAAAACACTTGGCAAAAATCCTGTTGCTCATAAGTAAGATTTTTCAAAAGTAAGCATGTCTATGGCATAGCTGAAAACTTATGGTACTGCATATCAGTCATTTGCTCACAATGGACTTGAACATGTACACATGGAATACCGATTCGAAAGTGTGTTTTTATATTTTTTTACCTCTTAATATAAAACAACTTACAATCCATGTTTATGGTAAAATACAATTTCTATGCAGCTGGTATTAGTAGTCATGACAATTAAATATAATGCTAATGATATATCATAAAATAGGGTATTCTTACAGTGATTTTCTGTTTTCCAAGTCTTAACGGCCTTCTAGTGTTTTATTGTACATCTTATTCTTTCCTTTTGGATTTAGACAAAGCTGAAAGGGTTTCCAAGAAGTAGAGTGTCCCTATCCAAACATATCCAGAGGTTTCATTGTTCAGTGGTAGAGCACAACTTTGTGTTTAGAAAGCCCCCTACTAATCCTTATGATCTCCAAGTAAGACTGGGGAAAAAAATCCTGTCTAAAAACCTGAATAGCCGCTGCCAGTCTCTAAAGATAATATGGGTTAGATGGATTAATAATTTTATTCAGTATAAGAAAGCTTCCTATGTTTCTGTGATCAATACAGGAAGAGCAGGGTAAAAACAGGACAGAACTCTACACATACATATTAACAAGTCAGAACTTTGTCAAGCATTCAGCCAGAAAAAATTAAATGACCTTAGTGTAATGTATTTTGAAAGTAACACAAAGCATCTGTTTCTTCCCCTGGATTTCTTTGGAGTGACATGCATGTTTGGATGAAACAGTATTTTCAAATCCTCAGCACATCTTTCTTGTAAATGTAGCAACTGCAGGGAAGTTTTTCTCAAAATTGTAGAGTCTGATAAATTGCATGCGTAAAAGCCCATAGATCTAATCTGTTCCTGGGGAAATTTTCTACAAAGAAATGCTAATGCTGCTATTCCTCTTCTCACTCTTTCACACCTAGGACTCTTTAGTCATTCAAAACAAAGCTGATCTACTCAGCTGAAGTTGAGGACCTGTCATATGTTCAATCTATGCCAATTCTTTTTTCCCCTTTTTTTCTTCTAGTAGGTGGACTTACAGTAGAAAGATGGCAGCATCCACCATTGTATGAGCTTTGAAAAGACAGACTGGCCTTGATATGAATGATGCATCAGAGTTTAGTAACATCTCATCATCATTTAAAAATGCACATTGAAGTTTGAATTGATGCTTTTTGACATCTATGCCACCCAAATCAGTTTTCACACTAAGGATCTTCAGTTCAAATATGTCCCAGGACACCAGAAAGGAAACTTTTATATGGTCTGGATAGTCAATTTATTTATTTATTTTATTTTATTTTATTTTATTTTATTTTATTTTATTTTATTTTATTTTATTTTATTTTATTATTTTATTTTATTATTTTATTTTATTTTATTTTATTTTATTTTATTTTTATTTTATTTTATTTTATTATTTTATTTTATTTTATTTTATTTTATTTTATTTTATTTTATTTTATTTTATTTCTATACCGCCCTACTCCCGAAGGGCTCAGGGCGGTGCACAGCCAAACAATAAAATACATACATACAAAATTTAAAAGTGGAATTAAAATAAAATTAAATAGTTTTGGCCCAGACAAATTAAAACCCCAATCAATTTAACACCTGGTGAAATAAAAAGGTCTTTAAGGCGCGGTGGAAGGTGCGCAGATCCGGGATCCTCCATATCTCTGGGGGGAGCTCGTTCCAGATAGTAGGTGCCCCCACAGAGAAGGCTCTCCCCCTGGGGGCCGCCAGTCGGCATTGTTTGGCTGATGGCACCCAGAGGAGCCCCTCTCTATGGGAGCGTAACGGCCGGTGGGAGCCTATTGGTGGTAGTAGGCGGTACCGCAAGTACCCAGGTCCTGAGCCAAGGAGCGCTTTAAAGGTGGTAACCAAAACCTTGAAGCGCACCCGGAAGACCACCGGGAGCCAGTGCAGCTCACGCAGGAGGGGTGTTACATGGGAACGCCATGTCGCTCCCATTACCACCCGCGCGGCCGCACTCTGTGCCAGTTGGAGCCTCCGGGTGCTCCTCAAGGGGAGCCCCATGTAGAGAGCGTTACAATAGTCCAGGCGGGAGGTCATGAGGGCATGAGTGACTGTGCGTAAGGAGTCCCGATCCAGAAAGGGACGCAACTGGCGGATCAGGAGAACCTGATGAAAAATCCTCCCGGTCACGGCCGTCAAGTGCTCTTCTAAAGACAGCCGTGAATCCAGGAGGACGCCCAGGTTGCATGCCCTCTCTGTGGGGGCCAATGATTCACCCCCAATAGTCAGTGATGGCACCAACTGACTATATCAGGACGTCGGAAATCACAGCCACTCGGTCTTGGATGGGTTGAGCCTGAGCCTATTCCTCCCCATCCAGATCCGCATGGCCTCCAGGCACCGGGACATCACTTCAAGGACATCGTTGGGGTGGTCTGGGGTGGAGATGTACAGCTGGGTGTCATCAGCGTACTGATGGTACTTCACCCCAAAACCATGGATGATCTCACCCAGCGGCTTCACATAAATTTTGAACAGGAGGGGCGAGAGGACCGACCCTTGCGGCACCCCACATATGAGGGGCCTCGGGGTCGACCTCTGCCCCCCTGTCAACACAGACTGCGACCGGTCAGAGAGAAAGGAGGAGAACCACTGCAACACAATGCCTCCCACCCCTAACTCTTCCAACCGGTGTAGCATGATACCATGGTCGATGGTATCAAAAGCCGCTGAGAGATCTAACAGGACCAGGACAGAGGAGCACCCCCTGTCCCGAGACCTCCAGAGATCATCCACCAACGCGACCAATGCCATTTCCGTGCTGAATCCGTTTTCGGCCTGAAGCCCGACTGGAAAGGATCCAGATACGATGTTTCATCCAAGTGCTGGGGGAACTGTTGCGCAACCACACTCTCAACAACCTTCGCCACAAAGCGAAGGTTGGAGACCGGACGATAGTTTACCAACATTGCCGGGTCCAGGGAAGGCTCTTGAAGAGAGGCCTCACCACCACCTCTTTCAAGGCAGCGGGAAAGTCACCCTCACCCAAGGAAGCATTTATAATCCCCTGGAGCCAGCCTCGTGTCATTTCCTGGGAAGCCAGCACTAACCAGGAAGGACACGGGTCCAATAAACAAGTGGTCGCGTTCAGTCTGCCCAGAATCCTGTCCACGTCCTCAGGAGTCACAGGATCAAACTCATCCCAGATAACATTCTCAAGACCTGCCCCAGTCTCTCCCCCTGAGGCTACCCAGTCGGAGTCCAAATCTTCCTGAATCTGAGTGATTTTGTCATACAGATACTGAACAAAATCCTCGGCTCTACCCTCCAAGGGGTCCTCCTGCGCTTCCTGGTGGAGCAGGGAGCGGGTCACCCTAAAGAGGGCGGCCGGGCGGTTATCTGATGATGCAATAAGAGCAGCAAAATAGCTACATTTCACTGCTTTTATCGCCACTAAGTAATTCCTAATATGGGATCTTACTAGTGTCCGGTCTGATTCAGAAAGACTGGCCCTCCAACTACTCTCTAGGCGTCTCTTCCGGCGCTTCAACTCCCTCAGCTCCTCGGTAAACCAAGGAGCCAATTGAGATCGGCGCCGGGTAAGAGGCCGCAAAGGCACGACCCGATCCAGAGCTCCAGCAGCTGCCCTATCCCAGGCGGCCACTACGTCTCCAGTCGAGGCGTGTGCCAGAGCCTCAGGAAATGGCTCAAGCTCCATCTGGAATCTGACAGGTTCCATCAGGAGCCTGGGGCGGAACCATCTTACCAGCTCCGCCTCCCTGCGGCGGGGTGCAGCGGTTCAAAGGTCGAGATGAAGGAGAGAGTGATCTGACCATGACAAGGGTTCGGTAACTATATCCCCTATCTCAAGATCCCTCAACCACTGTCCAGAGACAAAAACCAGATCCAGCGTGTTTCCCCCCGTGTGGGTAGGGCCATGAATTAACTGAGTCAGGTCCATAGCTGCCATGGAAGCCATGAACTCCCGAGCCACCTCAGACGTCTCACCCACAGACGGCAGGTTGAAATCCCCCATGACCATAAGCCTAGGGGTATCAACTGCCACCGCGGCGATGACGTTGAGTAGCTCGGGCAGGGCTGTTGCCACATGGCAGGGAGCCAGGTACGTGATCAGCAAACCCATCTGAACCCCATGACCCCATTTCACAAAAAGGGATTCACAGCCGGCCGTCTGAGGAACAATGGCCTCCCTCGGTCTCAGACCTTCTTTAATAATAACCGCTACCCCCCCGCCCCTCCCCTGTGACCTCGGCTGATGGAATGCTTGGAAACCTGG